TAAGCCATAATCAATTGCACGCATCATCCTAAGCCATAAACTATGTTTTAAACCACAAAGCCTGGGTTTCCCAACAAGCTATGGCCAATGTATGGTATATAAATAAACTCAGTCATTATTATGTCGTCTTGCTATAATACTATAGATTAGATAGTTACTACCGTACATATTATACGGTATAGATTTTTTCTACAACCCTTTTTGACTTAGTCTTCTCAGTTCCGTTTTGTTTCCCATTCTCCTGCTGGTAGCTTTTTGCTGAAGATTCATTAAAGAACAAATTCTTTTTCGGGACTCAGAGGGTTGCCTGATTTTTTTCCCACAGGAGGGCTGAGACGCTCCCACCCTTTAAAGCTCAGAGCTGCGTCACACTGCCTGGCTCACTGGCCTCTGGGCAAGTTGTTATAACCAGGGAGGTCACAAATCACTAACCCTTTCTTGCATTTGTTAGTGGTGAAGGGGACATGAGAAAGCCTGGGGAGAGTAGATGGCAGATAGAAATCAGCTTCCAGGTCATCTAACAGAACTCTGTTTAAATACGAACTACAGTCTCACCAAGGGAAGAGTAGCTTTTTTCATGTCACTTCAGGCTGCAGAACCAGTTTAAATTCAGAGAAGAAATGTTTGTGGCCAGTGATAGCAATATAGATCAAGGTCTGCCTATTAATTTTGTTCCCTAAGGGTTGCCAGGTCTGCTTCCAAAAAATAGCGGACAAGCGGGGGTGGGGGTGGTGTATGTTAAGTAGTAAAAAAATAAAAAATTACAATTAAATTATATATTTTCTTACAAACATTTTAACACACCATTTTAGGTCAGCCGACACAAGCTACAATACATTTTAAAAATGTGAACTGTACATAATTTTATAATGTATTTTTATTTTAATCTCATCATTAATTTTTTCGGAGAATCGAGTTCAATGGATATTCTATCTTTGTCTTATTCTAATTTATGAAAAACAAAACAAAACACGATTCTCCTATTCTTATTCTCTTAGACTGTACAGCTTTAGATTACGTACCATTTCATCATAAAGTATTTGAATAAAAAAAAATGTCCACTATTTTGTGAAAAAAAATAGTGAACATAATGTGAAAAAAGTGGACTGTCTGCTCAAATAGTGGACACCTGGCAACCCTATAAAATCACTGTGCTCAGTGGACCTATAGTTAATCTCTAGTTGAATAGGCACAACTTTTCCTTGCCAATAACTCTTTTACAATTCTCAAAGAGGAATCTACACCTTGTGTGCAGCCATGCACACATTTGCTCCCTGAATGGGGCTGATGAATTAGACTCCTTAAAAATGTATACAAAAATATAACTGTCTTCAAAGTTTATTGATGTTGGGTAATACATCACGTAATTGTGGACTGGGAAATAGGGCTCTCCAGATACTGTTGGACTCTTAATTAGCCACTATGGCCAATAGGGTATATAAGCCACTATCCTGATGACTTTGTTTTGCCTATCTCCGTCATACATTCCCCACATTAATTGAAAAACATGGCAGGGAAGAACCAATGCCAAATAGATAATTTTAACTGACAATTGTTCATTTATATAATCTTTTATGTACTGCTAGGAAACTCACATCCAACAAGATTGTTAAACCCGCTGGGAGAATTGTCTGTGTGTACCGTATTTATCTATTGCACCTTCTCCCAGGACAGGATAGTCCTCTGGATTCAAATGTCTCATTAAAAAATGTATTTTCAATTGTCTCCTCCAATAGCTAAACTAGCTCCTTAGAAATTAACAGCTGAGACCTAGGGAGAAATCTAAAGGATCCAAACCAGGCTTTCAAAGGCAGCATTGTGCTTTAGAGCTATTTAAGCCATGTCATTTTAATGAGGAAGGAAATAATTTAAGTAGCTTGGGGGAACAGCAATAGAAGCAAAGGAAGCAAACTGTGCCAGTGTCTCAGAGATATAATAGAAATGAAAAGTTTAAGGTTTAAATAGCATATGTAACTCCTAGAACCATAGAATTTTAGAATCAGTTTGCTTCAAGGTCATCTATTTCCATCCCCATAGTGTCCGATTGCACAACTTCTGCTGGCACACCTGCGGTGAAATACTTTGTTCCATTAGGTCTTACTGGGTTTTTTTCTTCTTCTGTTGTTTGCTTCCTGATAAAAAGCCTCATCTGTGCAATACATGTTCTTAAAATAAAATGTAGCATAAGCAGAGCATGTCATAACTTCAACCTCAGGGCATTCTAACCATGTTATTGCAAGCAGCAAAGGTAGGACTTCCAATTCTAGGCTGCACAAGTCCAGATGACCTCTAGTTGGTAGCAGAGAGTTAGGGTTTCTTATAACTGCATATCTATCTAAGGAGCCCTGGTAGCGCAGCAGACTAAAGCACTGTTATTAACACCAGCTGCCTGCAATTACTGCAAGTTCAAATCTCACCAGGCTCAAGGTTGACTCAGCCTTCCATCCTTTCTAAGGTAGGTAAAATGAGGACCCAGATTGTGGGGGCAATAAGCTGACTTTGTATAAATATACAAATATACAAAAGTATGAAGGCTATTGCTTAACGCATTGTAAGCCGCCCTGAGTCTTCGGAGAAGGGCGGCATATAAATCAAATTAAAAAAAAAAATAGTCAGCTGGATTTTTGGAATCCAGAGGGTTAACCCTAACCCTAACCCTAACCATTTACAATTTTTACCATTTGTTAATTGTACAAATCAGTTTTCTCCAACACCAGCCAGTTTAGAGATGGTGCTGTCTGGAGCCTTCTGGTGGGGTGAAATTAATATAAGCTGTTACCCAGAAAATACTGACACATGCCTTAACAACTTAGCTATCCTTTGTGTCAGTGCCCTGTTCAAATATAACTATTAGTTTTGCTTTATGAAGTGTGATGCCTACCCATTCTATCTTAGTATCACTATTATGGCATGTACAGCAAACCATGGTTTTGGAACATTCTAACTTACAGTTCCAATAGTAGGAGAAAGACTTTTTATAAAGACTTGACTTTAGGAGCAAGATCTTTGGTCAAAACTGATTCATTAATCTGGTCAACCTTTCATGTCTAAATAGGTTTTTTCCCCCGCCCCAACCACCATTTGTCATTCTAATGACACTTTATATATCTATCCCATGGGACTTCCAAATTTCCCATACGGGAGGAAGTAGAAGTTGTTTTGTTGAGATTCATGTCTCCACTTTCTAACTTCAGAACGTCTCCAGAATCTATTAAACTATTAAAAGCTGGTCTTGGTTTCTTTTACTAGCTAATGCTAGTGATGCCAATGCTGGCGGAGCTAAGGCTAGCATTAGCGAGGAAATAAAAACTGAGACATTCACTAGTGTTATTTTCGCTAGTGTTAGTGAAGAAAGGAAAACCTCTCAGTTTTCATTTCCTCACTTCCTCATTTCCTTAGGCCCTCCAGCATTAGCATCACTAATATTAGTGAGGAAAAGCTAACCAAGAGGTTTTCTTTTCCACACTAACGCTAGCCTTAGCTTCACCTGCGTTATTTGTCTCTCAAAAAGAGATGGCTGCTTGTGAGATTGTGCCATGTGGCTCAGCAACAGAGTGGCCTGTCCTTCTTCCTTACCCTGACCTCTGGAGATCTTCAAAGACAAGTGTGCGATTCTGATGAGTGGAGGATGGGAAGGAGCATGTAGGTCCCAGTGGGGTGGCAAAGCAAGGGAAGGACACTTGAACTGTGAAAGAGGCCAGAGTAACAGAGTTGGAAGGGACCTCTCGTCCAACTCTCTGCTCAGGCAGGAAACCCTGTATATTTCATACAAATGGTTGTCCAATCTCTTCTTAAAAACCTCCACTGTTGGAGCACCCACAGCTTCTGGAGGCAACTCATTCCACTGATTAGTTGTTCTAACTGTTAGGAAATTCCTCCTTAGGTTCTAGATTGATCTCTCCTTGATTAGTTTTCATCCATTGCTTCTTTGGTGCTTTGGAGAATAGGTTGACCCCCCCTTTTTTTGTGGCAGCCCCTCAGATAGTGGAACACTGCTATCAGGTCACCCCTATCCTTTTTTTCATTAAACCAAACAAATTCTGCAACTGTTCTTCAAATTCAAATCCCTGCCAATTGCTGCTAATAGATGAAAGGTACATGGATATGCTATGTGGGAGTCTGTTTTTGTGTATTTTGTCTCCTGCTGGTTCCATCATAAGCAACAGTCAATTAGGCACCCCAAAGCTGTCCTCCTCCTTTCCCTCGTGTTTCAGATGCATACTGAATAAAAGGACTTCATTGGCTCTTGTTAGTATCAATCACCACTAATGCCTTAATAGATAAGGGGCAATTGATGGACTATTCTGCAGTTCCTACAGCAGCATTTTTTATACTTGGCAACTTTAAGATATGTGGACCTTAATTCCCAGAATTCCCTAGCCAACAAACAAAGGTACTATGCACAAAACAAGGCTCTCCTAGAATATTTCTTAAAGGTTGAACCAAATTCAATTTACAAAATTCGGGAAAAAAAATCCAAACTGTTATTCATTGAGGAAAGGCTGGAGCAGACTTCTCCAGCACTGACTGCACATGGGGGAACAGATGCATCTCTTGTTCAGGAATGGTTGCATAGGTGTTCTTTTTATACATCAGCGAATTTTAACATTTCCCATGTGAATATGCCTTGCCTTCCCCTGTTTCCCAGCAGGAAGTCAGAACCAGTCAGCACCGAGGGCACATATCTCTACACAACCAGCAGTTGGGATTCAGGGGGTGTTTATGTCAGCTTGACTGTAGCCCTGTACAGCCTCTGCTTACCCATCAACATCTGGGCAGTGTGGGTATGTGGCAATGGCTATGGGTAGTTGTGGGCAATTATAAATCAGCCTTAAGATTCCCAACATAGTCAAAATTGTATGGTAAATTGTACCACATTCATAGCTATATTCCTTTTTGTTGCTGTTTTAATTTTTTTGCCTCAAAATAACACTACACACAAATTAACACAAGTAATACATTAACTTTAATGTGGTTTATTAATTATTTTTATTGTAATGCCTGGTGTTAAAGAAAGCAAGAAACAATGACTAATTCTAAAAAAAACATGTACCATATATCCCACATACAATATAAGCCCTTCTGTAGAAAAGCCAAGCCTCAATTTTTCACCAAAATAGCATGAAACATGGTAAAAAATAAAACCTCAAAATGTCCATACACTTTAATTCTTACAATTGGCTTATCCGTGAATGGCACATTTTTCAACCTATTTGGTTAAAAACTCAAAGAGTTAGCTTTGGTGACGGTATTCCATCTGAGTTATTTAAAATCCTAAAAGACGATGCTGTTAAAGGGCTGTGCTCAATGTGCAAGCAAGTTCGGAAAAGTCAACCATGGCTACAGGATTGGAAAAGATTGATTTGCACTCCAATCCCAAAGAAGGGCAATGCCAAAGAATTTCGAAGGGAAAAGGAGAAAGGCACGGCAGAGGATGAGATGGTTAGATAGTATAAATACAATGAACATGAATTTGGGCAAATCTGGGAAACAGTGAAGGACGGGGTGCGGTGGGGGGGCTAGCATGCTATAGTCCCGTGATGGCAAACCTATGGCATGCATGCAGAGATGGCACGCAGAGCCCTCTCTGCTGGCATGTGCACCATCGCCCCAGGTCAGATCTCCGTGGCATTTCTTTCACAAGCTTCTGTTTCCCTGCAAACGACAAAACAGAAGCTCACGAAAGAAAAAGATCTTATCTCTTGCCGCACTGCCGGTGTTGTATGCCCCACCTCCTGCCGGCCAGCTGGTCTTCCGATCACTGCTGCACATGCTTGCATGTCCATGCATGTCCGTGCACGTGCATGCATGCACACATTTGTGCGCTCGCATGCATCTTTCAGTTTGGGCATGTGCACGCAGTTTGGGCACTCAGTGCCTAAAAGGTTTGCCATCACTGCTATAGTCCACCGAGTAGCAAAGAGTCAGACATGACTTAAAGACTGAACAACAATAATATTTAAAGAATGTCGGTAGTTATAACTTTGGAACAATGAAAAAGGGATCCATCTCAAACCATCCCCTCCTCTGTATACCCCCCTCTCCATTATGCTTGAGGCTTTCTTGATTTTTCCTGGGCTTTTACTGCTTGCCTCTTTCCATATCTTAACCCAAAGGAATTCCAGTTGTAGGTGGAGAGATCCTGGGTCCCTTCTAACAGCAATGCCCCTTCCAGTAATGGAACCCCCTTGCTTTTTGTTGGAGGCGTCCCTGGCCATAACTGCATTTGATGCTCTTGCCGCTTGCACAGAAGGGTTACTGTGGGTTTCAGACCTTCTGCAGCAGAGCTGAAGCTCCTTTCAGAACATGGGATGTCATTAGCCCAGTGGATCCAGTTGGCTGTGCCTCTGGAGGGTTTAGCTAGAAAGAATAAGAAAAGTTTATAGAGAGAACATATTTGGAGAAGCATCAGGACCGGGAAGGGTAGAACTTGTAAAATAACATGTCTGTCTGTCTCTGTCTCATCTGTCTGTCTGTCTGTCTATCTATCTATCTGTCTGTCTGTCTGTCTGTCTATCTGTCTGTCTGTCTGCTGTCCATCCGTCCATCTGTCCATCCATCATCTATCTATCTATCTATCTATCTATCTATCTATCTATCTATCTATCATCAGCAAATTTATATGGACATCCATCTCACACAGGGTGACCGGGGATTGTACAATAAAACCAACAATTAAAACAGAATATAAAAGTCAATTAATACAAATAAACACAAGTTAGAACAAAATTACAAGAGGGTTAAATAAGAATACATGATGAACCAATGGGTAGGTCTGATGGGGGGAAAAAGGCAAGTTTTGAGAGCTTTTCAAAAGGCTAACCTCATTTCAAGGGGGGATATGTTCTGGAGGGTGGGGCCACAGCAAAAATTATTATTATTATTATTATTATTTATTAGATTTCTATACCGCCCTACTCCCGAAGGACTCAGGGCGGTGCACAGCCAAACAATAAAAACACATACAATACAAAATTTAAAAAATGGAATAAAATCAAATTAAATAATTTTGGCCCCGACAAATTTAAAACCCCAAACTTTTAAAACCAATTTAAAATTGAATATATAAATACTAAAAAATATTTAAAATTTTAAAAATCTTTTATAAAAGAGGGGGAAAATTAGGCCAGGCCGGCCTGGTGAAATAGTAAGGTCTTTAAGGCGCGGCGGAAGGTGCGCAGATCCGGGATCCTCCGTATCTCTGGGGGGAGCTCGTTCCGGATAGTAGGTGCCCCCACAGAGAAGGCTCTCCCCCTGGGGGCCGCCAGTCGGCATTGTTTGGTTGACGGCACCCGGAGGAGCCCCTCTCTATGGCTCATTTCCATTACGATAAAGGAAATGTCAAATTCAAATTCAAATTCAAAGCCCTGCCAGTTCACCATGGCAGAACTGAAGGTCTGGGAAATGATGAAAAGCATGGATATACTGTAAGCAGTGGTGGTATTCAGCCAGTTCACACCACTTCGGGAGAACCAGTTGTTAACTTTCTGAGCAGTTTGGCAAACTGGTTGTTGAAAGAAATCATTAGGGCAGAGAACCGGTTGTTAAATTACTTGAATCCCACCACTGGATGTAAGGCTAAATTGTGCGCAAGATTTGAAAAGGAAAAGATAATTCAAGAGTGCATCTGAGAACACAATTAGCACCCCTAACACTTTTCAAAACCAAATCCCACCCCCCCCCGCCATGGGATTTGTGTACTAGGTGTCGATGGAACCCAAAACAAGATTGTTTCTTTGCAGAGTTGCTGACAGGTGATCATTCCTCCCACCCTGCCTTTAGCATTTTTTATATTTCTTCACAGCTCCAGGATGCAGTGACACAAGGACCACATGTATGTTCTCTAAATAGCAGTGAACATTCTTTTGCAAGGCAGTTTCAGATCATTACTAAGTTTACAACAAGATTGAATCTAATAAGAGTCCATCAAGACTGCCTCTCCTTACCTTGAGGCCAGAAGCTCTTTAGAGGATAATAGCTGTCTGCAGGTTTTCCAAACTGAACTCTGAAGAATAATACGAACATAAGCAGGGAACATAATAGGTTCATTCTGAAATGCAGCAGATCTAAGATAAAAAAAAGGAAGGAAGCCAGAACACTTTAGATCAGGGTTTTCCAAACAGTGTGGTTTACATCCCTTGGCCAAATGCAAACAGAGTCCATGGGAGGTGGACTCTAAAAGAACCTTTTAGTTACTTGTAACTAACTTTTCACATCTCTCTCAAACTTACTTTGGCTCAAATCTTCAGTTTTTTCAGCTAAGCCTTTGTTATACTTTATCATTCATCTCTATTTACCTTGTTTTCCCGAAAATAAGACCCTGTCTTATATTTTTTTTTATCCTTATTGCCATGCGCTCAATAAGACATTCGGGGGATGTCTTATTTTGGGGAAAACAGGGTACAATAATTGATTTTTTTACAAAAGTATCATTTTCTCTCTTTCTCAATCAGTAGTGGGTTTCACTTACCTTCACTGCCAGTTCGGAACCGGGAGCGCGCACGCGGTGCTTCTGTGCATGCACAGAACCCTTTGCACATGTGCAGAGCATCCGTATGACGTCCGGGCGGGTGGGTGGAGCCTATTGCCGCCACCACTGGGGCGAACCGGTAGAAACCCACCACTGTTCTCAACACACATAAAAAGAAAAAAAGAATTCACTGTGTTTAATTGTGCTTCCCAACTAAAGGATATTACTTAATTGGGAAAATTATTAATCTAAGCAGTTCATATTCTCTATATAGGAGGAAGATAGTAATGAATTTGATAAACACTATTGTTTGAAAGCATGATCGTTTCAAAATATTCCATGACTTAGAATTAAAGTCTGCATATAAAAATTATTTTTGATAAAAACATTGGTATAGACATCAGGAACAGGTTATATATACAGTATTCATACATCCTTTATTATAAAGGACAGTCCTTTATTTCAGAAAGCTGTCCTTTAGTTTTACTTTTCAAAAACTCACTTTAGATCTTGGGTCATTTAACTTTTACTGTACAAATGGTACCATTTAATGCACAATTTTTCACATTCATGTGACAAATATGGAAACTAATTTGTCTTTTTAAGATACATTTATACATACTGCTTGATTTCATATTTTTTATTACAATATGAATTTTTATAATTTTTTTCTTGGTTTTGCTCTTAAATTTTCTTTTGTAAAGCAAAGTTATAAACAACTACGTTTGTTATCCTTACGAACCTCTTTTAGAGTTGCCCCTTTTTCAGGTTTGTCCTTTATTTTTTCCAAGAAATATGCCCACTGTAGTTATAGAGGAAATGTTTAGTAGAGTATATCTAAAATAAACTCAGTTCCAGTTTGATATGGCTCAGAATCATTGGTAGGAAGCAAGCTCTGTATGCATGGTACATGCATGGGTGGATTGTTTTTTTTTTTTTTTTTTTTGAGTGTGAACTGAATATAAAATTAAACTCAGGTTTCCAATCTTCTGGTTAAGTTCCAGTGTCAATCTGTTTGACAGTTGGTTCATTTCCTGTTGGCTTTGGTTGTCCAATCACACAAACATATTACCTCTGCTTTGCTACTTTGCTATTTTACCTACTGATTTACTACTTTTAATTATTACTAATTATTGTAGTTACAGCCCTTAATTTAAGTTTAATTTATTATGACACAGTTAATGGTCTGTCTCTAAACAGAAATTCCAATGCGTGGCAAAAATAGTTATTTAGATAGACCATAATAGGGTTTTTAAAAAATGTATTCACAAAGCAATAACCTTATACACTGACTGGCACAGCACTGACACATTATTGTGGATCAAGACCTGTCATTCTCTTTCTCGTCTTCAATGTCCTGTGATTTATTAGTGCCTTAAAGTACAGAATACAGCTGTGGATCAGAAAAATGGGATCATGGGTGGAAACCTGGCCCGTGCACATCTGGAAAGATGAAGCTATGGTTCAGCTGAGAAGGCAGCATTTCTAGACAGCTTCTCCATCTAATGTTTTGCCAAGGTTTTCCATTCTTTGTAGAGTTTGCCTGACCAGTGAGGATCAAAGAATGTTGTTGGAAAAAAATAAGACTTGAGACCAGTTTTCAAACTTGTAGAGCAGAAAACATTTATAACTAGCTATTATAAAGAAGACAAGCAGACATAGAGCATACACAGAGAGTATGCATACATTCATACAAGGGGAAAATTTAATTAGAGTGAATTAAATGTGATTTGAAACAGAGGGATCATTATTCAGCATACAAACTTTCATTCCCATTCCACCACTAATGAACAGGTTGCATATGTTTTCCAAATCCAGCTAACCCTGCTTGGCCAGAGGCAAAAGGAACACAAAAGTTGCAGATATGTGTAAATACATACTGTATTAAGTGCTTCTACTTCTAAGCTCTTTTTCCTCTTAAACAGTAACAGCAAGACCATTTTTAAAAATCACAATCTGCCTTTAGTCTAAAACCACAGTCCGAAACCTACACCACTTCCAAAAACTTTCCAATTGATAAAAATGCATTTGAGGCTGGGAAGGAGAGGTATACGATACTGAGCTATCTACTTGAAATATGACAGTGGAGCCAAAACTATGAACATTTTCTGCAGAATCCCATTTAAAGCAATAGAACGAACTTTTGAATAAATATGCACAATTCTCTAGCATAATTTGCAACCATGTCGTCTTTAGTGGATTTACTCCCAGATAAATAAGTGTTTGTATAGGTTTGCCACCCACCTGCCAGCTTCAACATCCTTAGCTTTACTTACCTAAGTTTTTCCTGCAATGTCCAGGCCCAAAGTCTTGATCTCTTGGAAGAAGATGAGATGATCTCTGCTATAGCTCTCACCTCATTCTTAAGGCTGGGGTCTGAATTATTGAATGCCCTTACTGGTGACATCAGCAAAGATGGACCCGCCTCCAGTTTATATTTTTTAATTTCCCTGCCTAAGCAGCTTTATTGTATCTTGAAGGGTAGACCCAAAACTATTTCCGTAAGCATTGTTTCATTAAATCGTCATCTCTTTCTTTTCTTCAACCAGATCAAAATAATTCTGCTTTCCTTTTCTTTACAGCCAAGAACAATTGGTATAAATAGGCTGGAATCAATTTGCTCTATTACACTGAAATTATCAGCAACAAAGAAGATGAGGATACTACCATTTGCTCTGATTTAAATGCTCCCTTCTCCTTCATTTCTAATCATTGAATAAGGAACCAAGTAACTAACTGCTAGGTCTATAACCTGCATTTTGAAAGAGTATAGAATACACGGAGATGTTTCCAGATGGGGTGTGTGGGATGTTTATTCTCCTGTATACCAAGGTGAGGGTATGGTGCATGAGGGTAGGAGTCTGATTGCATGATTGTGCCTGCCTGCTTGACTCTTTTGATGCCCCTGAAGACCCTTCGGAGATGATATCCATACAATTTGCACAATGTGAAAATTGGGAACAAAGATCTTGCTGTTGAATTATCTTTACACTTTTGACCAAATTACCTAAATTCTTTCCTTATTGGGAAGGAAAAAAAAACAGGCAGTGCAATTCTGACCTGGCTTAGAGATTACCTTTCCGGAACTATTATTTGTCTTGTGATCTAACACATACAGAGATTGAGACGACATTTAATTAATTTACTTTTACAATTTAGCAGTGTTAAAAATGAAAAATATTTGTATCAAAGTCCATGGAGATTCTCAACTATCCAGATCATGGTTGTCCAAAATTTACTTTTCAAAAGGCAACTGGACTTTCTTGGTTCTTTTGTTGAAAATGTTTCACTTCCCATCCCAGAAGCCTCTTCAGTTCCACTCAGTTCATATCAAAGATCACAAAGTTGCACTGGAGATCAAATTGTTTTGATACATAAAATGTATTGCAAAATATACATTATACAAAAACTGTCCCCTGCATCATTTTTGTCATAAGATTTGAAATAGGAAACCCCGAATAATATTTGTACCCACTATATTTTCCTGTTGAACTTGCCTACAGAAAAAAGAATAGCAAAAATTTGTCAGGGAAATGGACATATTTAAACGTTGTTCTTTTATACTCTACTTTTTTTAAAAAAATTGCTAAATTACTATTTCTAATTTTATCTGTCCAAGTCCTTCCCTTTTTTTATAGTACTGTCTCTTTTGGATAGAGATTTTAAAGAGCTGAAGATAATATAAATTATTGGCCCTAGGGCAGTATTGCTGGAGACTGCTTACTGCATCCATGATTTTTATTGCTAATGCAAATGATATTACAAGGGGAAGAGAAGAGAAGAGAAGAGGAGAGGAGAGGAAAGGGGGGGGAAGATTCTTCATATTCTGCCTCTGTGGTTTTCACCTGGTCTATTATTAATAAAGCGGATCTTTATATTTTAAGAGACAACAGGATCTTCCTGTTTCCCATTCTCCTTCTCTATGTAGTTTAGATAAAAGCAAGTTATTTTCTTTTTAGTTTTATACCGGTAGTTAGATTTGTGTGTTAGTCCTTGCTTGAATATTGAAGATCCCATTCAGATATATTTCTGCAATCAAGTTGACATGTCTTAAATGCTGGATGCATTGCTGTCAAGTCATTGTTACACAATGTGTGATACTTCCAGGTATCATCAAGGTGTGTTTTTGTATCTTTTAAATATACAAAAACACACCTCGATGATACCTGGAAGTATCATCAACAGCATTGTCACATCAATTCCGATGCCGGTATAAACCGGCATCAGAAGATGGAAACCTCATTATAATTATATGTTTTACAAGAAATGATTCTACCAATTACCTTGTACATTGCTGACAGTTATCATATCAATTATTTAAATCAGCACTAAATAAAATGTACTACTGAGGTAGCAGGCTATTCATAAAAAATGTCTGTGCTTGTAAGAAGGGAGCTTGTCTCTGGTAACAAGTCATTCAGTCAAGTTACACTGCAGAGCTGGTGTCTCCAAATTTCTGAAACAGCTGCAACAAGAAAAAAAATACTAATAATTTTATAAAGAATTATATGATGGAATGAAAATTACAGTAACTAGGATAAAAGAAGAAGAGATATATGACAGATTACATTTGTTTGATTCAATTAATGATCACACTGTTAAGATCATTGTATGCAGAGGGAATGATCCAGGGGTGAAATCCAGCAGGTTCTGACAGGTTCTGGAGAACCGGTAGCGGAGATTTTTAGTAATTTGGAGAACCGGCAAATACTACCTCTGGCTGGCCCCAGAGTGGGGTGGGAATGGAGATTTTGCAGTATCCTTCCCCTGCCACGCCCACCAAGCCACGCCCACCAAGCCACACCATGCCCACCAAGCCACACCCACAGAACCAGTAGTAAAAAAAATTGAATTTCACCACTGGAATGATCTGCCTGTGAGATCAATAGAAAAATCTCCACTTTTTGAATGGTACTGGGTTTATGTTAGTGAACTATCAATGAAAAATATGAAGCTGTGGATTCATCTCTACCAGCATTATTAGCCAGGTCTTGAGGCCCTTTCAAAATACCAGCAGAGTGGGAACCATTCAATCTCATTCCAAAAGGCAGATGCTGCAAAAGACAAGGTGCCCTTCTGGGATCTGGCTAAATGGCATTGACTATTTGAAAGAACCCATAATGTACCAACTGTGCCAGACTGAATTGGCTAATCCAATATTGTGGGAACCAGCATCTGGAATCATATCCGGAAGCAAACTAGTAACCAGTGCAGCTCACAAAGCAGAAGTGTTACATGAGCATGCCCTTGGCT